AAATACCTTGTGGGGGGGGGGGGGGGGGCTAAACCAACAACAGCAGCACAAGCTACCGGTAGCTACCGACTACCGGTGAGTGAAGCTTGTTCGCTGCCACTCTTACAGGGATTTGCGCGGCCGACTCTCGGGCAAAAAAACAACCAAACAAGCACTGGTGTGCCAAAAAAAATGGCCCGCGTCGTTCTCGGCCTCTGTTTCCGCTGTTTCGGCCCAGGAGATACAAAAAAGAGGGGGGAAAGCGTCCGGCCGTACGCACAGCACACAGAGCAGCAGCGTAGGCCAAGCGAGCAAGCCACACGGCAAAAACCCAGGAGCGAAACGAGTCACGAGGACAACGCCCAGCGAAGCGCCGGGTGGTTGAGCTACAAGCTGACCCCTCTCCCCCAGCGTTGCTGTCAATCGAACACAACGTGAACAAATTAGTCGGTAGACACGCTCTACAGCAGTACCCAACACATGTGATGGTGTTGCTTCCCTCATGCGATCATCACCACCGCATCTCCCCTGGCTCAAGCAACAGCAAGACCCAGAGCCCTATCAATCAGCCACCACCACCACTGCTGTAACCGCTTTCTTAACCTGCAGGCAGATTCCGTCGATGCTCCCGTTGTAAGCCAGAAGCTGCCGGAAGAGGACAAGCCTGGCTTCGCTAGACGCCGTCCACAGCTTGCCTCTTAGCCCGGAGCGGTAGACGCTTCGCTCCGACGCGCGGTGCCTGCGCGTTTCGTTTCGTTTCGTTTCGTTTCGTTTCGTTTCGTTTCGTTTCGTTTCGTTTCGTGTCGTTTTCGTTTCGTTTCGTTTCGTTTCGTTTCGTACTCGTTGGGCAATGTTACCTCACGCGGTTGCAGCAAGGCCAGGGTTCGAATAAGGTGGTGTGACCCGCGAGACAAAAAATCAAAACAAAAAAAACAAAGGCGCATTTGGCGCATCCACCGTTATCGTGCTCGCTCTGTTTATTAAGCAGCAATAGCAGCAGCAGCAGCAGCACCGAGGGATATACCAATAATGCGTGGCCTTGCGGTACAGCATGTCCTGCGCCTTACTACGGCATTGGCGCCCAAAACAATAGCAAGATGGAATGATGGCGGCAGAATGTACCGCGCGAGCAGCACCAGCGAACCGCCCGCTACCCCCGAGCCGAGCAGAAAAAACAAGGAGGCTACACCTACAAACCAAGCAACCCCCCCCAGCGCCATCATCCGTCCATACCTTACCAGGACCCCACACCCGTTCGCCATGCGACGCTCTCTTGACTACATCTCCACGTTCTCTTCTACACCCACCCACCCGCCCGCATCTAGCGACCGCAGTAGCACAGACCTACCTGAGAGCCGCTTCGAAGACGCCGGCGATGACCACCGATACGTGGTCAAGCAAGGGAAGCCTGTCCCCCTCCTCCAGGGAAGAGTCGAACAGCAGCGCTTTCGCCAGGGGCGTCCGCGAGGCGCCGTCGATAGAAGAAGAAGGGGCGACCTCGTCCAGCCTGCCAACGAAACAAGACAAAACAACGGTAGAAATCGATTCGATCACAACAACACACGAGACACCGGAACTCTTTTTGCCGTTCTTGTGGAATGTTCAGACCAACTCTTTAGTGCTGAGATCGGTCGGGGGCGCGGGAGGGCAACTCCTCACAGTAGTCGATAACCTGCCTGAAGGTAGTGGACGTGGCGCTCACAAATCACCGCACAAGCCTTGAAATTCCATATTGCTGTGTAACGTGGGACATTCGCTTTTGCAGAGAGGTACGGGGGAGCACCTCTTTTGGTGTAACCGCACAAGGCCACTGTTCTGTGCATGTCAAGGGCTGTGGTGGGCAGAATCGATCGCTCTCGAAATCATCCTCGCGATCGTACCGTGTTGAGAGCTTGGTTCGGGTCTCGGGGAACGGGAGACCCGGGGGGGAAGCAAATATGAAGGGCCTCCTTGCCATGGGCAGGGAACGGGGGGTGACCACGGCTCGCCCCGATGCGCGGCACATACTCTCAAACTTCTGACACACGCATACTGTACCGTCATAAAATGCCACACCACACACGGACCTGGGTGTATGGAGTTCCACGAAGGCGTCCAACACTCCCTGCGTGTGCTCGAAGTACCGGTCCCGTTCCGACGTAACGGCCACCGCCGCCGCCGCTCCCGACCTCGCTTCCCTGTTCCGCAAGGAGAACTTGACACAGTCTTCCAGCAGACCAGCCGCCTTCGCGCCGACGTGCTTGCGCGAGATCGAGTCCTAAAGAGGTTTTCATGGGTATCCGTTCGAAGGCGGGGGCAACGGTATAGAAAGAGAGGGTCGGGGAGGGGGGGGAGTGAGAGAGAGAAAGAGCAAAAAGGAGAGAGGAATAGAGAGAGATTGAGATAGAGATAGAGACAGACAGACAGGCAGACAGGCAGACAGACAGACAGAAAGACACAGGAGACGCAGCATGTCGTGAGGAAAACATGGGCAGAAAGATGCGCCGATGTCGATTAAAGGGAACCACACACACACACACCTGCAGTTCGCAGAGCCTGGACGCCGCGGCGACCTTCTCCCCGCACTCCGAGAGTGCCGCCCGACCGACCGACAACGCCCCCCACGCCCCGGCGTCCATCAGGACCCGCACCAGCGCGCGCTGCCGGCGTGCCTTCTCCCGGAGAGCAAGGTGAACGAGCTGGTGCGGCGACGCAAAGGCCGAAGGGTGCCGCCAGGAGCCGTTGAGAACCTCCAGCCCGGCCTGTGTCCGAGGGCCCGCGGGGAGGAGAGGGGGGCGGGGGGGTCAGCATCATCGGGATTGGCAATGGTCCTCTCAGGGGGAGGAGGGGGGGGTCAAGAGCGTCGGGATTGGCAATGGTCCTCTCAGGGGGGGGAGGGGGGGGTCAGCACCATCGGGATTGGCAATGGTCCTCTCGGAGCTCTCGGAGCTGAGGCCAGATGAGGGCACACTCTCCTCCCGTGTTCGTGTGCTGCGGCACAGCAGTCAACGAGGGGGGGCAAAGGGAACAATACGGCGCGCGTGTGGCCGGCGCCGGTGGTGGCTTCAAGCGCACCCACCGGGGGGCCTGAGAGAGTGCTTGTGCCTTGACCGCCCCCCCGGGCGTGACGTGTCAGTGGTACAAGAAGGAGAGGGAAGTGTACATGACTGAGCTGGGAAAAATACAAGGGACGTACAGGGAGATGTGTGAGGCATGGAATAGAGGGGAAACGACGGTAGCTGAACTGGGGAGTAGGAAGTGGTTTGAAATGGCGGGAAGGGATATCGTTTGGATAGACAGACTAGGCAAGACATTTTTGAAGCACCTTTGGCAAAGTAGGAAGGAGCGATTGGCCATCGGTGATCGGTCCTGTGGGAACAATGCTCCGTCCTCTCGAGAACGCGTGGTCAATGGTCTAACCGCTAAGGCATGCAAAACATATAGTACGCCCCCCCCGGGCGTGACCAAACACTTGCCTTCTCACGTGCACGTGCTTACGGCGGCATAACAACCTCTCGTCTCGTCTCGTGCCTGACCTAACCTCATACGTAACGGCTTTGGGTCCTTCCCGTCCCTCCGCGGCGGCGTTCACACGACCGCATTCGGGCATGCCCGTTTCGCGGGAGCTCAACACAAACAACTCTTCGGGAGAGGGAGAGGCGAAGAGACAAAACAAAGAGAGGTACAAACAGCCCCGGCGAATTCGCTGCAGCCGCCACAAATAGGGACAAGTGCCGCCGACACAAAAAAAAAACGTATGTTTCCTTCGTAATCCACGCTGACAAGCACATCCTACCCGAACGATCGCCGAGTCGATGTTCTCCGTCGAAGCCATGGCCCCGCGGCCGGTCTCCTGGGCAGCGCGGCCCAACAGCGACCCCATCGCCAACCTTGTCGGGTCCATGGTCTTTCCCTCCTCGAAAGCTCTCAGCCCTCCCTGAATGAACACGGACGTCGTTTGAAAGTTGTTCCGTCGAGATTAGGGCGCGGGGGGGGGGGGTTACTCATGTTTTGCATGCCTTAGCGGATAGGCCATCGACCATGCGTCCTCGGGTCTAGATTAGGGGGGGTGCGGCGGAGGACAGCCGGCTGGCGCTATGAGTATCGAGAGGCGAGATCCGTTCGATTGGAGCGGTCGGACCGCTGAGGAGAAGGGCGGGCGGGGGAACTTAGTTGATGACGGTGCTCGTCTTGTCTTGATGTTGCAAAAGGTGGGATGTGCATGCTATGCTCCCGGAGGGAGAAGAGGAAAAAAAAAAACAGCTGGCAAAATCCTGACACGGATTTAGACCATTGACACGCCAAACAAAAAAACGAGTGGTGTATATGTGCGAATACACCTGGCGCAGGCGAGCGACAAAGAAGGCAGTCGACAGAGCAGGTGGAGACAGAGTTGGTGTAGCCTTTCGTAGGTCCGCATTGCGCTGGAAACACCCATCAAACTTGAACAACAACAACAACAACAACAACAACAACAACAACAACAACAATAACAACGAACACAACAAACACAACAACAACAACAACACCAACACCAACAACACCAACGCCAACACCAACACCAAACCAACCACAACAATCAAGTATCACCTCAACCAACGCCATCTTCCACTCCTCGCTGGTGTCGTTACCGGGGATCGACGCAAACACCTCCGGACACGGCCCGAGGTCCACTGCCAGACCAGCCGCAGCCGCCGCCGCCGGCGACTCTGTGTGCCGGGGAGCCACCCACACGGCCTGCCCCTGGCGGGACAGAAGCACCACGCCGGGGCAGCCGAGCAGGGCCCCACCTCCACCGACGCAGCCGCCCGAGAGAGCCGCCCTGTCCGGAATCGCGGGCCGGGTTCCGGTTTGTTTGCCATGGTTGTACTCTGCTGGATGCCTGCCATACTGCGACGAGAGGCCGACTCGACGCGAAGCCATTATGCTACGCGATATACACAAGAGAGCACACGCCCCTACTCCCCCAACCAGAAGCTATTCTACGCTGGCTTGCCACCACTATTTCCACTAACCTGCTGGACACCGTCACCGACCCGCGCTCCTCCCACTCAACGACCTCCTCTCCGCCGCCGCCGCCGCCGCTCGCGCCGTCTCCGCCCCAAGCCTTGACGCACACACTCCACACCTGCGCGGTCGCCGTCCCCCCTCCCTCGACAGACACATCGGGAGAAGGCGATGAGGGCCAGAACACGTGTGCAACGATGCCGCCGCCGCCGCCACCAACTCTTGTGCCGTCCCCGGTGGAAAATGCCTGCTCGTTATCGGCCACGAGAGTCGCGCGGCGGCAGCCGGGGCCTAGGGAGGCTGGTGCCGGAGGGTTAGGCGCGGCCGCGGGGAAGGCGGGTTGTCGCCCCCTGCGGGCCGCTGCTACTGCTTCTGCTGTTGCTGTTGCGGAAGTGGTGGTGACGTGGTGGGACGAGATGACCTATGTTTTGGTCCATGCAAGTCGGCGAATATCATTTTGGCGCACAAGAAAAAGTGGCGACGGCGGCGGCAAGGGAGGCAGGTTTCAGTGGGCGGGCGAGGGGTGTTAGGTGGCGCGGCAAGGGCACCAAAAAAGCCCCGTCTCATTCGTTCCCGTACCCCCTATACATCAAAGCCGTTTCCAAGTAAAGGCCGCAAACCGTTTGTGACACACACACACCATGTACGCTGCGGTGGATGACCCAGGACCAAGAAAAAAACCCAAGAAACGCTGTTCGCGCTCCGGCACCACAACCACCATCACACTCACACCTGGACGGAAACCGAGCTCCCCACCCAAGACGCCTCCCCGGACGACACCCTCACGGCATGGACGGACAACTCCCTGCCGTCGCCGCCGCCGCCCTCGGCTCCCCCGTCCCCATACCTCCCGCTTCCTCCGGCCGCCCCCGCCGCCGCCAGAACCAGCAACTCCAACCCCCAGCTCACCACCGGGGGCGACGCAGACGCCTCACCGCTCGCGGGGGAAGGGGACACGGTCGTCGGAGCCCCGGTCACCGCCACGTCCAGCAGACACGCCTGCCTGACCCCCAGCGCCCTCTGGATCTGGCTTGCCAGGGGGTGACACACCTCGAGACATGGCGTCCCGCCCCCACCGCCGACGCTCCAGACCTCGAGGATGTCCGTGGTGAGTCGCACGACGCGGGCGGGGATGCCTGCAGGGCTTCCCCCCGGGGGTCGAGCAACGGACAGAGCGACGACGGGGCTAGCTGCCGCCGCCGTGGTGGCGGCGGCGGCAGCGGCATCTCCTTGAGGGGGATCCGTAGCTGGTGTGGCCCCCCCCCCGGCAAGCGCTTTTTGCCCAAGGTAGCTCTTTGGGAGGGGGGGTTACATGAGCGTGAGCAGCCGGCGGGGCGACGAGTCAAGGAGATAAGATCATCGGTGACAATTCCTAAGCACGGTAGCGTGGTGGTGAAGTGAAGCAGCTGTATTAGTTGTTTGTTGTCTCTCAACACACTAATTGAAACTTCTCTGTAACTACTGCTGTATTACAGTAACGTTCTCTTTGCAATTTCACGACAGGAATTCTTGACCATAACACCACTGCCAAACATTCGAACATGCGTGCTCACTTCACCCAACTCGCTAACGGGCAGAACTTACCCCCATCCTCCTGATTTTGGAAAACCCGCGCCCCAGCACGGAAGTGGTCTGCGTCAGGAGAATTGGCTCATGAAGCCCGGGTCGAAGGCGCAGAATCCCGCCTCTTGACAGCCCGCAGAGGAAGTCGGTTGGGCCGAGAGCGACGACGCGAGTTACCTTGGGGGGGGGGGGGGG